CAGCCTATGGTTCATTGATCTATTGCTCTTCAGTCTATGGTCCCTCAATCTTTGGTCTATCAGTCTAAGGTCATTCAGTCTTCTGTCCCTCAGTCTATGATCCATCAGTCTATGGTCCAGACAAGGGAGCAGTAACTGTAATTTCTCAGCACAATCTTACTGAATTCAGCCTGAATCTGCATGCTTTTACTCTTGATGGTTATCTTCTTAGAAACTATTACATTAAGGACTACAAAAGGCTGGCAGTCAAGCTGACACTAGAGGAGTGGTGATATTGACTGGAGGAAGATGAACGTCTATTTGTAGATCAACCTAACAGTTTTTGAATACACCCAGAGTGATATTTCTGTGGTGTGTGTGGTGGTTCTGCTGGTCCACATGATGCTGATGGGATGTAGATCTGAAAACGGTTCCACATGCTCAGAAAGAGGTCGGACTATGAACTGGTTTGGACCTTCATTTGGACCATCAGGACCTCCTCAGAACATATCTGGGTTCTGGAACGAAGGCCCACCTCTCTTATATTTTTATTCTGAAGCAGATCAGTATGATGCTGTATCTGATTCATGATCGATAACTGAGTCGGAACCGAACCGAACCTTCATTTCTGCACATGAACTACAGCCTCCTCAGATCTGAACACCGCATTCAGATCCGACTGGGTCCAGCCGAACCTGACCGGTTCTGTGTCCAGAGACACGCAGCTGCAGCAGGACCGTACCGTGACACAGGTTCGGTTCTGATCAAACCCATCTCCCTGACAATAGAAGCCTGTTCGCTGCATGTAGACACACCTCTCACTCTGCAGTCGCATTTCTGCTGGTTCCGCGGCTCGGTCCGCCCAACTCACCCGCTCGTGTCGTCCAGAATCACGGTGTGCAGGTCCATGGACCTCGGACCCGTCCGCAGCACGTCCAGAACCGACGGGAGCCCGGCTGGATTCCCTCTGCAGCGGCTGCTGGTGCTCCTGAAAGGGCCGGCTGCTGGTGTGCAGAGAGACGCGGGCACGGCGCAACCTCGTGCACGCTGGTCGTGTGTCCGTGCGTGCACGCGCTCGTCCGTGTACATGTATGTTTGTCAGTAGGCCACCTGCCTCTCTGGTCCCGACGGTCAGAACCGCTGCTTCAGTTCTAATGGATCTAAAAGCTCGTTTCAGCGTTCTGATCGGGCAGCAGGGCCGCGCAGAGCGGGATGAAGGGTGCCCTACCCGGAGGTGTGTGTGTGTGTGTGTG